CTTCTATTTTTTATACCCCTTATATTTGTTTTGTTTAAATTTACTGACTTTGTACTACCTTTTTGTCTTATTTTTTGTATGTATCAAGGCATATCAAACAAGTAGTAGCATTAGTGCAAAAACAACATTTGCGTGTACTTTGTTGTTGTTTCTGGTGTCGAAAGTGTCAAAAACTGCTATGATTTTTTTCTTCTGAATCAAAGTGTGCCTTGTGAAATAAAAAAATAATAAATAAATAATGAAAAATTGAAATTGGGGAAAAAATAAAAATTGTTGCAACTTTCTTTCTTAGTAAATTTGTTTGCTCTTTGAAGCATTTATTCGTCCTTTGCAAGGCCGAGTAATCTCCGGTTGTGCTGCTGAGTTGGGCGAACGTTCCAAAAGTTGCTATTCAATCGCTTGTTTTGTATGGAAAAAGGTTTCACATACAAATAGATTTTAACAGTTTTGAATTTTTGTGAGAATAAATTAAAAATATTTGACATTTTCGAGACCAAATAATTTGAAACAAAATCAAATCAGCTGCTCCTACTGATACTACCTGTGTAATGTGCCTTGGTATGTATATTTTTTGGTTCAATTTTTTATCTTAAGTGTTTTATTAGAATTTAAACAATGGACACCCAATTAAGAAAAGGTTATCTTTGGCGGTTAAATTATCGCAACAAAATTTGACAAAAACATACAAATGTATGTGCATACATACACGAATATTAATACATCCAAACATAAATACGCCAATCACTTACGCTAATACATATGTACATATGTATGTGCATATAAATTAGCATTTTAATGCAGTACGTGCCTCTTTTCATTTTTTGTAAACATAAAAAAGAGACATTAAAGAGAATCGTGTTTCACCTTCACACAATGACACACCGAGCGCCATATATCCTCAGACGATTGCTCGTAGTGATCGCTCTCGGGATTCCACGTTTTTATTGCCTTCACACACTGCTTCAGCACAGTGCCTTTCACATCGACCAGCGCCGCACGGGCACTTCCCGTGCCAACATCGACACCAACAAAATACGTATTGGCCGCAACGGACATGATCATCAAGTGGTATCAAGAATCTTTACTAGATAACCGCAACTATGTTAAATTTTGAATGAACCGGTTTTAGGTATTTAAAAATTTAGGTTTACAGTGTATCAGAATTTGCGTCTTGGCTTAACAACTCGACAACTTGTCAGCAACACTGGCGGTCACAATCTGAGTTAATTGAGAGCTTCAGCTTTTCAATTGACTGCCTATTGCTGTTTTTTGCCTAATGTTTATCAGTAATAAATTGACAAAAAATTGTATACATATACATATGTGCATACATAGCGATGCTGATAACAACAGCAATCCAGTGGTCGCTCTGCGAGGCTATTAAGTCAATTTACGTAGACAACAGACTTGTGTATTTTATTTTTCTTTTTTTTTTTTGCAAATGAAATACTGAGGCAGATTTACAATTGTTTTCCTTGTAAAGCGTTTATGAACAAATACTCAATCTCATGAGTGGAAAATCAGTCGATTCTGAGCACCGCACCTGTTTTCTTGTTGCTCTATGGCATTGGGCTTATCAATGCAAACTGTGAAAGAGAATAGTTGCCGTAATTATAATGCGGTCTTTAAATTGTCTCTAATCGTTATTATGTATACATGTTTGTATGTATTTGCATACACAAATGCACTCGAAAATGTATGAAAGACTTTGCAAAATACTATTTTTTTTCAATGCAATATTCGTTACAATTCATCTTTAAAATAATCTTTAAAGGTCTAGTAGTAGTCGTAAAAAAGAATATCATTGATTAAAAATTTAAGTGATCTCAATGGCAATCACTACCAACTTATGTTTATTTATTTTTAGAAATTTTCATTTCAAATATAATTCGGTCCATGACAGAAACCACATAAATAAAGGTATAAAAATTGCACAAATTAATCAAACTTCAAAAAAAAAAATTGAAACTTTTTATTCGGAGTTTTTAGAAAGTTTTCAAGAATGCAGCTTTCTTTGAGGGTGTTGAGCATTTTGTTCCACATAACGTCTGAAAAAAATGTATTTTCCTCTCTTTGATGAGCTTTTTTGACCTCAATGGTTGGTAATTAGAGCAAATAAAACAAAATTTTTTCACTGCCTTGCCCCACGTTTCGCTAAAACTCCGTAGCATCCTCAGGGGCGAAACTTTATTTTAAATTAACGAACAAAAACCATGCGAAAACGGTCAAGTGATGTCGAGCTCGAAATATTTAATTTGTATAGCTGCGTTTTTAACGCGCACCACGCTCTTTGGCACTTAATCCTGGCAAATGATCATAGGGGAAACCTATTGGCTAATCTGATAGACGATTCGACTTTCTGCACCATGAACAATCACGAACCACCAGGATATGGGAACTTGCAGCAGCTCGTTAGACCTAACAATTGTTAGCGCAGGCCTGTTAAACTCTAACAAAGCTGATTGGAACGTCTTAGCGAATGTTACTGAGAGCAGCTTCGCTTTGGGACCTTAATTTGGAGATTCGGCAACTGGTAAACACATTTAAGCGGAAAAAGTGGGAGAAGCATTTGAAAACCTGCAACTTCGCCTCTGATGCGAGTAAGCTGTGGTCAACCGTGAGGTTCCTGTCTAATCTGACGAGACGTGACGACAGAGTGGAAATTTCATTCGATGGTCATCCATCGTCGAAACCGAAAAAATGCACGAGCTATTTTAGCCGGCAATTCAAACTGCATCCTTCGGTAAATAAGGCCAAGTGTAGAGTGATCAGGAGGCTGCACAAACCGCCAAGAAACAGTGCTCCGCTTCCTTTCACCAGCGGTAAAGTCTAGGTGGCCATCGGTAAGGCGAAAACCTCCAAAGCCATCGGCCCCAACGGTATTTACATGCTGATACTGAAACATTTGGGTCCGGCGAGAGGAGCATATCTCTCGCGATGTGTGTCTCACTGCTGAAACCGGGGAATCCTGCCGATAAAGTAGAGTGTTACTGACCAATAACGCTGCTTTCCCTGGACACTTGAGCCTTGTTACTCCAGCACTTCACATACAACCTGACCCCAGCGCAGCATCTGTGTCATTTCCATAAAGTGCACAGCACAAAAACAGCACTTAACGTCAAATAACTCGTGGCCTTAACCGTAACCGCTCCTGTGAGAGAATGGTCATAGTATTGTTGGACCTGTCAAAGGCGTTTGAAACCGTTGTCATTCCGAGCTAGTAGAAGACATGGAGGTTTTCTCTCTCCCACAGGAACTCAAACGATGGTCGGCAATCATCAGTAACCTTTCGATATCAAACTGAAAAATTAAGCAACGGGCTCCACAAGGTGGTGTTCTCCCCCCCGCCCTCTACTGTTTAACTTCTATATCCCGAAGCTTTCTTTGTCACCGGAGGGAATTTCCCTGGCGTCATACGCTGACGACTGTTCTGTAATTGCGTCCGACGGTGAGCAACCCGAAAATTTTAGTGGTTACCTTTTAAAGCCTGCTTTCCCTCTCCGCGCAACCGTCGCACTCCGCGTGAGCACCCCAACAGACCCTGGTTTGAGGAAGACCATCCGCCCAGGCACGTCAAAGGGCATTTTTTCGAGAGCCGCGAAGGCGGTCCATCAAACCTCTGGGCCCGACGAGTGATCCGGGCTAGAATCGTAACATCCGTTCACGGATCGAAAACGATACGAAAGAAAATTACGTGATACGTCGGTGAGTATTAGCTAAATAGGACAAAGGGTACGATCACGTATGTCATAATCTGAAAAATGTATCTTTACGTGACGAGTAGTACGATATCGTACGTGACGATTCGAGCCAGGTATTTCTGGTGGCACTCCACCGGCGACAGGCGTGAGCACCCCAAAGGACCCTTGCTTGAGGAAGAGCATCTGCCCAGGCACGTCAAAAGGAATTTTCTTGAGAGCCGCGAAGGCGGTCCACCAAACCTCTGGGCCCGACGAGTGATCTGGGGCAATCGTAGAGTCTGTCACCACCTACCGCGACTCTCCAAATATTACAGACTTTGAGCTTCATTGCCACGAGAGAGCCGCGCTACTCTATCCCAATTACGGTCAAGATATTACAGCCATCTTAACATCTACTTATCCAGGCATGTAGGGACTCCCCACATGACACCAACCACCTCTTCGCATGTCAGCTCAAACTAACTCAGCTAACACCTTCGGAACAGCTCGTTTCTTGGGCCTATCGTTAGTTGAGCCTGACGACAACGCTTGATAGACAAACCGACCTAGGCGGGGCTTAGTAGTGCCGCCACAACACCTGTTTCTGGAAAAAGGAGTCCGCATCGCTTGACACCCCACTGGGGTTCGTACACCCTATTTCCCCTAACAGTAGCATGATGTATAGACGGACTGTTAGTTCCGTCTACAACTTATTTCGTTAGGTTGAGATGAAAAGCTTGTGGTTCCGCCGGAAGTTTCCGATTCCTGAACATAAGTGGCATCCATCATGCCCTAATACAAATATGCAAATCTCGTGCACGACCATTAATTTCCAGCATGCAAAATTTTATTGCATGCGTTCTCAAGCACCTACGTCTGGCAACTCTCAATACTAAGCAACGAACAGCTGATTTCTGTTTATGTTCGAAAATCAACAAACAAGCGTGATTTTTACATACAGAAATGGTGCGAATTAAAAATCGGTAAATTAATAAATAATAAGCTAAATATGTACATACGCTCAATTTATATTCAATATTATTTGTAGTTACATTGTAGTGCGAATAGTACCCGAGGTACCTGCAAAAGTATTAAATTTTCATGATGCCGTGATTGCCAAATGTATCCTAAACCATGTGAAGAAATTCTACGGCGATTATGGACTAGGCACTGTTGAGCAAGGATTTCGCGTGAAATATTGCAATGAACGGACAAAAGTGACTATAATTAGATGCTTACATCGATCACATCGCGTTGTAACGAGCACTTTACCGTTAATAACAATGGTGAGTTGTAGTATAAAAAAGGCGTCTAAAATTTTATAAACTATTTATTAAAGATAGGTGACGTTCGGGCGAAATTTCATACTCTTTACACTGGCGCAACTATAATTCAGTGTAACAAATTCATAATCAATCATCAGCAGCGATTTTTGGACGAAATGGTTGGGCAAATTGCATCTGCGAAGGAGCGCAAGGAGTTCATTAAACGTGTTATGGAGTTCGATTTAGAACAATAATTTTTATCCTTCTCTGCCAAACAATAAATAGATCAAGTTCAAAAGTGTAATTAATTTAAAAATTCGCTTTACGTGTATTTCAATAAATTTTGGTTCGCACTTAAATTGTGACTGCAAAATTTAATACATTTTTACACTTACTACGTATGTACACATAATAAAAATAACTTGTATATGGTATCTACATGTATACAAAATGTTTCTTACATAAAAAATACAAATAAAATATATATGGTAATAAACTGCTGCTGATAGCTTATCAAAGGCCGTATGTTTATAGTAGATTTTATAACAAAAACGAGCTACAATGCCAACTTTTATTCTTCAAAGGTAATCTAGATCTGGGTGGCGCTATGTTTTAATTTTATTATGGCCATTACCACTATCCGGCAACTAGGTATGTATATTTTTATAATTAACAGCAGTGAAGGAGTCATTTTGAATTAACAGAAAAATTATTTGTTGGTGAAGGAGGGTTGAAGCTGTAGCTATTGTTTAAGTTACACAGATACAAAGAATATGTCTAACGAGCTATTGATTCCAAATCTAATTTCTTATTACATATATCTACACTAAATTTGGTATCGAAGTAGTTAAAACATACTTAAACTTGACACATTTGCCAAGTATTTATGTACAGACGTATGTATGTATATGAGAAAACCGTACGACATATTCAAACTTCCACCAAGAATTTGCGACTGGTCGATCTTTCCCAAATACGGAAGGCGTTAAGTGCGTACTTCAACTTGTGTTCAAAGTCTCGCATAGTCATCTTTGTTTTTTTACTATAAACATTTAAATATATGCCTAGCACAACTATTAAACCTGACCATAGATATCTGCAAATTGAAAATTATATATATATTAAGGAAATCGTTTATTAAAATTGTTCAGGAACTTACTGCCATGTAAACGGTTTGCTAAAGAAAACAAACGATAAAGCAATCGTTACTGCCTTTCTTGCTGTTGTCACCGTAGCCGCCACTGGTGCACCACTGCTACGCACTAAAGCCAACACGAATTGTATGCCCAAGTAACCAGATAAGCTAAAAAAGAAGCCATAGCCGAATGTTTCCAGAGTATGCTGAAACGAGGTGGGAAAATTTGTTTTTGGAAAAAAAAAATATTTGTATGTGCATGTTTCTTCCGAGTTCTCACCTCCAGGCAGAACGCAAAACCGCTGAAAAAGTTTCCCGTCAACATCAATATAACCAGCAGATAAATAAAACCCAGTCCATAAGAGTAGAGCACAACCTCACTGCTTGGTGCGCGATATTCGCGCATTGCTTTTTCCTGTACATTGCCAATAGCTGCATCGCACAACAAAGCTGTTGATATCATAGCCACTCCTGTAACATTAAAATTCGGCGATACTTGCGAGTCAGCGAGCGTAAACCAAGCTAAACCAATGCACATAGCAATTGCCGCTGCAAAGTCTAGTGGTCCATAACGTTTCCCTTGTATTAAAATACTGCCAATTAACACAGGAATCAACTTGCAACACTTGAAAATCACTTGCGTAGGATAGTTAAGGTAACCTAGACTGGAATTAGACAATCCCATAGTGCCAAGTGTTAGCGCAGCAAGTAGAAAATACGTACGCATCGGTATGCAACGCTGAGAAGTGTCCACGCTGCCGCCAGGCAGCAACTTATCTCTACGTCTTGCCTCTAAATCGCGTTCAATCACACCGAAGCATATATAATAACCGAATTGCACTAGAGTGAGGAACCAGCCGTATGGCTTAAATCCTTCGACAGTGAAAATAAGTTCCTGCAGGTACCCGTAAATAAGGTAGAGCACAAAAACACCGGCACAACTTAGAAGGAATTGTGTGGTGCGATTGTAGTACGTCAGATTGAAGCAGAGAATTCGCAATTCAGGTGGATCAGAATCCAGTTGTTTGCCTCCGTTGTTACTCATTTTTATAAGATTCGGGGTGTCGTTTTAAATATTTACGTTTCACTCTACACTCTTATCAAAGGATAAAAGTACAATTTGTGAAAAA